TGGATCAAAATCTTGTATGCTGTTTTTTCATCAATCATTGATGCTCCATATACTCAAAATATTTTCATTGTTGCAGCTATACGAATTGTGCCATATATCGTCACTAACTCTCTCATTTCGAGTGAAAGCCTTGTTTTTTTTTACTATGATACTCCAGATCCTGAGTTTGGACAACTCATTCATGTCAACGTATCTATCATAATAATCAGGATCAATCTATTTTCCTGAGTATGATTGCCACTGCGCATAGAAGTTCACGAGAAGATTTGAATCACGCCAACCGTTCAACATTGAATCACAACGTTTCGGGAACAGATAGCTGGAATTCCTAGCTCACTCTTATAGTTAAATCGGAAATCCCATTGTACACCATATGACTCCGTGCGATTTTAAATATCGCATCGGAAAATTGCTAACATATCAACCTTCTCAGTTGGCATCTGATATTCTTCTGATATCATTCGAAAGAAAATTGAATTGAGGATGAGTAACAAGAGCATTTTCTACACCTTGAACTTGGATTCACTCTTTTGTCAGTGTTGGTCGAAGGGTAATATGTGGAATCAATGTTACATATTTCTGGAGTGTAATTCACCGTAACGATGTTGAAATCTTCCTTTTTTTTTTGGCAGATGAAGGCTTCTGGAAAAGGTCCCAGAGATACTCCAGAATTTCTTCAATTCGTGGTAGACCAAATAATTGGAGTGTAAAGATTCCCTCAATAGGCGTTGATTTTCAACTTCACTTCGAATTATTGATGGTCACTTTTCGAGAACACAAACATAGGAATTATTCTCTCGAGAATTGGGTGAGGCATTGTTGGGATACAAAGATTACTCAACAACTCACTGAAATCACTCAACAAGTGCTCTATAGAAATTAGTTCTGAAATTTGATGTATACTCATTTCCCTTAGGTATAATGAGGGGGGAGCATCCCACGATGCCCAATTCCCACGATGCCCCATTCCCACGATGCCCAATTCCTACGATGCCCACCTTCATGTCGACGATTACGAAGATTGCCGAAGAGCGCAACGTTGCCAGGTCGAGAAAAAAATTCTGAAATTAGGATTCTCACCATGCCCACTCCTCATATATTCCCACGATGCCCAATTCCCACCATGCCCACTTTTCATACATTCCCACGATGCCCAATTCCCACCATGCCCACCTTTTTTCGATTATCTCCATGCCCACTTTTCATACATTCCCACGATGCCCAATTCCCACGATGCCCAATTCCCACCATGCCCCCCTTCTTTGGATTCCCACCATGCTCACTTTTCATACATTCCCACGATGCCCAATTCCCACCATGCCCACTTTTCATACATTCCCACGATGCTCACCTTCTATAGATTTCCACCATGCCCACCTTTCATGCATTCCCACGATGCACAACTCCCACCATTCCCACCTTCTTTAGATTCCCACCATGCCCACTTTTCATACATTCCCACAATGCCCACTTTCTATAGATTCCCACCATGCCCACCTTTCATGCATTCCCACGATGCCCAATTCTCACGATGAATTTTTCTCATGACCTGGCAACGATGCGCTCTTCGGAAATCTTCGTTATCGTCTACATGGAGGTGGGCATCGTTGGAATTGGGCATCGTGGGAATTGGGCATCGTGGGAATTGGGCATCGCGCTACGCACCTATAATGAGCACTTTGCTGGAAAAAGATTTCATGTTCATGAAATATGTTTCAAGAATTATCTTCTCAAGATATCAACTCATGAATGTATTCAATACATGAAGAGAGTTGTTATATGCAGCAAATAGCGAATTTTTTTGCTTAATACTTTCAATAGCCAGATACCCATTCGATACATGAATCAGCAAAGAGGTGAATTTGTAGATATAATTTCATTGGCAATCTGTCATTGGTAATGATGGAATGTAAATCAACTCATCGTCTGTATGGAAGACGCTCAAATCAGGAATTTCTAGAATATGTGGGCGTTACCAATTATTGGCAATACGGGACATTGTGAATGAGAACGTGCCGACATATTTTGAAGTTCAATATTGAGTTTCTCTGGGGTTAATATACAAGGATGTAATTCTGATCATACTGAACATGAAGTGAAATCAAATTCAAAATAAAAATTTGTTAAAATTCAATCTTGCCTCGAAAAGAGCAGATTTCTTGCCTCCTCTTCTGATGAGGATTTGATCTAAATTTTGTTCCGATATTCAATGCAAATAAAACACTAGCATGCCTGTTCTCTAGACAATTCGATCTGACTGTGCCAAATATAAGCCTGTCAGGAGTAACCTGGAGTAACCATACTTTTGAAGACATCCATTTCGATGCTTGGTATTACTATCAGCAATAACCTTAATGGGAAAAAATCACGTGGGATCAATTGCTCAAGGTGCAGTTCAATAACTTGTTTTCTTCTGTTTCCGGCCAGGAGCTATTTCACTTTCAGTCAACTGCTTATGATCTTTAATTCACAGATCCAACTAGTCCTGGAATACTGTCCCCATATTTGGGGTACAGCACTACTCAAACATACCCTGAAACTGTTGAATTCTGTCCAAAAAAAGGCAATTTGTCTCATT